GCAATATAAAATTCCCAAACCGTTGTGCTGTATAGAATCTATAAATGTTGGCAAGGAAGGGCGTTACTTTCGTAATATTTTTAATAATAATAATAATAATAATAATACATTCTATCCAAGCAAGAACCTTGGCATTTGTAAACAAGGAAAAGAATGTCTCCTAAATCATTAATGTGCCGGTACCAGCGGATAACGGGGTGAACATGAAAGTAAGCGACCAATTAAAAAAATATCAAGACTACTTGGAAGCCGAGAAACTCGATGGGTTGGGTCGTGCTCCTAATAACTGTCTTATTCGTAAACCCGCTAAAACTAGAATTATGATTGGAGGAATTGGAGATTCAAGAAAGGTATGCAGCTGTTCAGCCTGTGTAATTGTCGGAGGATGTGAGGATACTGAGGAAGGTTCTGGAGACGCACTGCTTTAACTGAATCTCCAGCGGTAACCACCAGGCATTTGAACATGCAAATGCGTAAATTACTACTACTACTATCAACAATGTAAGCGAACGTAACAAGTTAGTCCAGAAAAGATACAAGAATAGACATGACTGGGTGGGAAAGATTATCTATTGGGAATTCTGCAAGCGACTACATTATGCTCATGCAAATAAAGGATATATGCACATAACCAGAAAATGTCATTGACAACGAAAAAGCATGAACTCGTCTGGGACTTTAAACTGATCACCCAACCTAGGCCAGAGACCTGGATCCGTCAATAGTAAACAAGAATGAGACCATTTCAAATTGAGTATTTCCTTGTTTCGGCAGAGTTTCGAGCAAATTTGAAAGACTGATAAAAAATTTTTCGACTTGCTAGGGAGGGAGCTGATGAAATTGTAAAATGTAAAAGTGACAGTCATACTTGTCGTTACTGGAGCACTAGTAACAGTCCCGAAGAGTTTAGAGAGAGAGAAAAAAAAAGACAGGCGGAGCTGGGACTCACAAGGAATATAGAAAATATCCAAGAACGATGAAATTGTAAACCAATGAAAAAAGCACATATGTTGAGAAGGAAAAAAGCCTAAAATCATCTTTGAGATTCAAACTGATCACTAAATTTAGCCCAGAAAATCAGAATAACTCACACAAGAAAAAACTTACATATCTATTTTTTTACTTACTTGCGTATATTTTTTGACTAAACGTGTATTCAAACAGGTTCTGTTATTCAGTCGTAGATCGCCGACTTGCATTTAATTATTAATCTCTATAAAAAGCAAGTGTGAAAAGAGGATGCCTTAAAACAGAAACTCGTTTTTAATAGCTAGCAAAACAACGAAATAGAAACTAACTATAGAAAGGCCAAGCTAATTTATTTTTACCGAGGAAAACAGTAGATTTGGATTGTGTGGAAATAAATATGAGATAATAAATCACAAAATCAACGAATGGAGAAAGTCGGTCCAGAGAGTATAAAAGAGTAGGTATGACTGGGTGGGAAAGGTTAGCTATTAGGAACTCTGCAAGCGAGTAAATTATGATCAGGAACAACAATGTGATATGCACAAACCTTGAGAAGAAAAAAGCATAAAATCGTTCGAGTCTTTGAAATTAAAACCTAAGCAAGAAGATCAGATCTGGAAAAGAAAAAAAAACTTACATGCATATTTTTTTTTACTAAATGTGAAATCAAACAGGATCTGTGTCTGTTAAAGATGCAGATCGCTGACTTGTATTTAATTATTGAACTCTATAAAAAGCAGGTGTGATTGGAGGATACCTTAAAACAGAAACTGTCGCTTTTAATAGCCAGCAAAACAACGCAAAAGGAACTAAAGGCTAGGATAATTTAATTTTACCAAGGAAAACATTAGATTTGGATTGTGTGGAAATAAAGATAATGAATCGTATAATCAGCGAAAGTATAAAAGAGTAGGCGTGTCTGGGTGGGAAGTGTTATCTACTGGGAACTCTGCAAGCGATTATATTATTGATTATACCAACCAATAGAATATGCACAGATCTTGAGAAGGAAAATAAGTATAAAATCATCTGAGTCTTTTAGAGTCAAACGGTTTACCCAAAATAGGCCACAAGACCGGGTTCGGTAAAGATCCACATATGAAAACCTAATACTGATAATAAGGACTTAACAAAGTACAATTTTATATGTCCCAACGATGGAGTAATGGATAGCAGCTCGGATTGAGGAATCGGAGAGCCGAGTTCGAGTTCCGGTCGGATCAATTACGTGCTAATACCGTTGCGAAAGGTATGAATCCCCTTCTTTTTACCCAACTCCAGTTATAGGTAAATAGCAGGAGAGACTAGGTTCTCTAGCCTTGGATAGCAACTGGTCTACCGCAGAAAGAAATGGCAACCTACTGCGGGAAAAATCTGCCTCGTCAGTCATGTATCGAAAGATACATGATCGCCTAAACGTGTATCACGCATGGCACATAACTGACTGAATGTACCTAAGCTTTGTGTCAGTTTATACATACATACATAAAGGGAGTGGGGGGTTGAAACATTCTCGGCTTGATTCGCCTTCCCCAAATTGACCAAATATATTTTTTTTAATCTTTTCTTGGTGAGACTGAACGTTTTTCTGCACCCCCTTGTATGTGCGTTTGTGTGTGTATGTGTCTACACACGCGCCCATTGTTCGTGTCGGTGGGTGATGTGTCGCGCAGTTCCAGTCGAATCCATTACATTCATTTAGGTGCTAATATCCTTGAAAAAGTTATGAATCCTCTTCTTCTCTCCCAAGCTATGGGTAAATAGCAGGACAGACTGGGTTCTGTAGCCTTGGATGGCAACTGGTCTACGGCAGAAAGAAATGGCAACCTATGGCGGGGAAATTTGCCTCGTCAGTTATGTATCGAAAGATACATGATCGCCTAAGATTGTATCACGCATAGCACATAACTGACTGATTATTGTATGTAAGCAAATGACTGGCTTGTATCATTTAAAATCTCCCGACACAAAGCTTTCATTACCACTGAGCAGATACTGAATATTATCCAGTCCTGATGCCTTTATTTTGAACGTCTATTTAGACTCAAGCTCACTCCATACCTCAAGGGAAACTCGTGTATATGATCTATCCCAAGAAATATTAGAAAAATGGTCGATGTCCCTTGTACCGTTCCAGAAAGTAATTGATTCCTCCTACCATGCAGTATAATGATTTTCCAAGCGTAGCTTAGATGTGACACAAGGCCGAAAGTAGGGGGCACCCAGTGAGAATCGAACTCACTACTCAGTGGTAATTGTTCTAGCGAGACAAGCTTGTTAACCGTTACACCGCCTCGAGGTGACCCTCCTACCATGCAGTATTGTCAGATCAGAGCAAAAATGAAATGCTCACTTTTCACAAGTTCAAAAGCATTTGCGCGAACTTGTGGGTGATGAATTATTTTTCCAGGCATTTCCCACTGACGAAATATTGCGAACATCTTACTACTTCATCATTATTTGCATGCCAAATGTTCAGGTGGACTTACATACCTCAATACCACCAGTACAGACCTTTACCCACGATGTCACGTACACAGGATCGATTCATCATCATTTCTTTCGCATTCCATTAGAAAGGAGGAAGTTCCTCCAAAACGGTGTATTCCACCCCCCCCAGAACTGTTGCTTTGTGAAACAGGCTCCCGAGTGTATGCTTCCTCGATCACTACAATCTTAACCTTTTCAAGTCTCAGGTTAACCGTTATCTAATATCTTACATATCTTCATAATAGGCACTTCTTAACTTCCTGTTTACGTCAATTTGACAGAGGCAGTCAATCACAACATCAACGAATGTAGGAAATTGGTCTAGAAACACATGAATTCGTCTGGATTCAAATGGATCACACCATTTATGCCAGAAGACCGTATCCGGTAATAGCAAACAACCAGATATAAAAAAAAGTGTCAAACCGAGGATTTTGTTCTACCGGTGAACAACAAAGCCTGGATTGATAGTTAAAAGTCCAGACCTTTCCAAAGAGCTGAGAAAAGATCGTGGAGCGTGAAGGTGCTAGTCGTGCCAGGCGTTACTAGAGTACTGGCCACAGTCCTGGAGAGCTTAGAAAAAAAAAACGGGAGTAACGAGAACTCAAAGGAAGAGATGGTATCGTTCTCACAATAACAAAACAGCTAGAATATGAAGGTGAGTATTATTATGAGAGGTGGCGTGTTGAGGATACATGTTGTCACTTAGGCTCCGCTCTTGTCACTGGCATGAACACTTCAACGAGTTGAATAATAATAATTAACTAAAGATAAACTGAGTAAATATCGTTGATGAGAATATTCGGTTGGTCATGGTTACACCCATGCGCAAATTAATTAAAAAAAACAACAAATAATTCCGTTATTATTTAATTTTTTCCGTATTTTTCCAATGAAACATGACCCAGTGCACATGTTAGTACTTCGTATGTCCATTCCACCAAGTCTTTCCTTGCAGATTGACCACAGATTTTCGATTGGATTTAAATCAGGAGAGTTTCAGGGCCAGTCTATAGTATTTTGATTTGCTCACTGGCAAGGCTTGCCAGTGTGTTCGTGCAGCGTTATAATTTTCGTACGCATCTTTGGACTAACGTCCATCGAAGACAATCGCCGTAGGACAACTAATCGATAGTTCAGGCAATAGTGTCTGGGCGTGATAAAAATCTGACGCAATCACGATGATGCAATATTTTTCAAGGCCAAACAAATTTCATCATACACCCCGAAAATAGATTCATATTACGGCATACCACTGCAAATGGCATAATTTGAGGAAAAAATAGAAATCGATTACACCCTGTCACTCGCGTGGGTCTAAAACTGACTGTATGGTGTAAGAAAGGAAACTAAAGCGGTTGTTTGAATTAATTTGCACAAGGGTGTAATTTCGTATACAATTCAAATAAATTTAGATAAATTTTGGATTAAGGTCTACAGACCAGAGACGCCATATAACTTGATGGTTGCACAAACCATATCAATCGGTCTGATATTTATTCAAGCCAAAGAATACAAACAATTATTTCAAAGTATTCCAGTCCAACGTCCTGGAATGAAAGTAATACGGTGAAACATCTATCTATCTATCTATCTATCTATCTATCTATCTATCTATCTATCTATCTATCTATCTCAGTCTGTTCATTTCTATCTATCTATCTATCTATCTATCTATCTATCTATCTATCTATCTATCTATCTATCAGTTGAAAACATTAGACTGAGAATGTGAAATGAGTCAATTTCGTGGAGGTTAGCATCAGCCATGCAGAATTGTTCTCTCAGACGATTAAAAGAGAGCAGTTTATTTTTGGAGCGTTAAAATTAACAAACCATTTCTTGCCCCATTTAACAACAGACTTATCATTAAAACTGGAATAAAAGTTGTGATTGGTACAGAGATTGAGTTTCGAACTGATGACACAGAGAAAGACGCTGATAATAATTAGGACCAAAGACAAAGATAAAGTCCTCGGAGACACCCATATTTATAAAGAAATTTCTAGATGAGTGGTCGTTTAAGACAACATTCATTTCACGATTTGAAAAGAAAGATTGTATAAAAATAATAATAAATTCGGCTAGAAACACCTTAACCTTTCAACTTGTTAATGCCAAACTTAGACAAACACCGTCGCGGTACCTAAAGTAACAGCCCGAGCATCAATCTAAGGCTTGACAAACTCTTTCAGCAATAATCGTTAACGCATTGGTAGTTGACCTACAGACGGAAAAGCCATATTATTTGTCTGAGAAAAGACACGCTTATATATATATATATATATATATATATATATATATATATATATATATATATATATATATATTTTCTGAGATGAGGTATTATGTACATTATTTACATTATTCGGACTATTGTTCTCATCTTTGTCGCCATATTTATTACAACATTTCGGCGGTTGTACGCTCCGGCCTCCTTCTCAAGGACACATGGCACAGTGGATAAAGGCGTTGGTTAGATCCAGTGACAGGACCCAAACAGTGTGAGTTCAATACCTGGTTAAGGCGGTGGAGAACTTTCAGAGGGAAAATTAACAGGAGATAACTGATAACTGACATACATTAAACATGGCACGTGGAACTAGAACAGTCTACGCCAGTGAGCGAAATAAAGGGTTCAGTTCGACATTCCGATCACCTGAAGAAGGCCGGAGCGTACAACGGCCAAAACGTTGTAATAAATATGGCGACAAAGATGAGGACAATAGTCCGAATAATGTAAATAACACATAATAATAATATATATATATATATATATATATATATATATATATATAGCCATATTATTTGTCTGAGAAAAGATACGCTTATTATACATATATATATATATATATATATATATATATATATATATATATATATATATGTGTGTGTGTATATATATATATATATATATTGTTAATTATAATAGACGATGAATGTCTATTATGTTTGATGATGAGCCGTTCTAAAAATGGTTGCTTTAATTTCGGGTGAAAATAAAGACAAAAATTGTTCAATATTTGAATATTTTATATTCAGCTGTTCCTTGAGCTAAGCTTTCGGCTCGCATGAGCGATCTTCAGAGTGGTTATATGCACATTTAAACAAAGATGTTCATCATCGAAGATGATATTCTGTTATGCTGACATAGAAGATTGCTATACGACGATAACGGTCGCGGAATAGCAGACCCAGGTCGTGAATTCAAGATGCGGTTTTATGACGTCGTACCACGCGAGAGAACGAAATATTAACAATAGAACCCTATGTTTAGATGCAATGTAATATGTTGTGACTAGTTTGAAGTGTAATTTCAAATGTTGGACAATTTTTCTGTTAAAATTAAAAAATTAAAGTAATCATACGAAGTCTGGAACGGCTCATGATCAAACATAATAGACATTAATTGTCCGTTATATTTAACAATATATGTTTTAATAATGATTTGCTGCCCCAATACACACACTCTCTTTCTCTCTCTCTCTATATATATATATATATATATATATATATATATATATATATATATAGGTCTGGTCCCTCCTCCGCCAATACTAAGTATGACTGAAAGAAATATTAAATAAACCCTCTCTAAACTCGACCATGTCTCTCAAACCACTCCTCATTACCGCCTCTGTTAAATTAAAAAAAACTTACACTACCCATCAAAAGTATGAATTTTCATTTCATTTTGTTTCGTTTCATCTTTTGAAAGTGCTATCTGATGATCCAGAGTCCTTCAAAAGGAGTCTAGTGAAATCAATTATAATGGAAATAATGGTCTGTTTTTTTTATATATATATATATATATATATATATATATTTTATATAATAAAGAATGTATTGAAATTTAATTTTATAATAGTTTTAAAAACTAAGAATGTTTTTTATTTTAAAAGTCAACCAACATCTCATCAGGAGACCATCGTTGGATAATTGATCAACGAAAAGAATATTAACGACAATGAAGAGCAAAAAAGGGGGGAAACACACTAAAATAACAAACAAGTGTATATACTTGTAACTATATATATATATATGTGTGTATGTGTGTGTGTGTGTGTGTGTGTGTGTATGTGTGTGTGTGTGTGTGTAGAAAGGTCGACTAATAAGTTACGGTTTGAAATGTGTTAATAACTGTGTTAAATCAAAATTTTCATTGTATATATTTTTGATTAATGTGATTAACAATTATTTCTGAATTAAGTGCATTAACAAGGTGAAGGAGAATAGGTGTTCGTTGTGTCGAGTAATTATTTTGATACATATATGTATGCAGCCACATATGTATAAACGTTTCATATTCCTTGTTTGTTCACGTGTTTCTCTCGGAACATTTCACAGAGGCAATGCATCCACAATTCATCGCATCATGATGAAACCCGTTTGTCTATTGTTTATGTGAATTAAGTGCTGATATTTGGAGAACGTTTGGGCCGAGACTTGTTTTCGTGTCAAGTGCTTTCGTGTGACGCCCTCTCCATTACGGCGGAACTTGATGCGAACCGCAGCGGATCCTGGGTAGAGTATGATAGAATTTTTTTTTGTGTAAATAATTCGGGCTTGGGCTTATTCAACAGCCAAAATACACAAAAGATGGCTAACATTTTCGTGCAATATGTCAGTCCGTTCACCTGACGAATATTTTGTACCGGCTTGAGGAGATTTCGCCTTTAAAATATGCACACCTATCACTCTCTCTCTGTATATATATATATATATATATATATATATATATATATATATATATATATATATATATGTGTGTGTGTGTGTGTGTGTGTGTGATAAAATATACTTTTAAAGTATGTTATATTTACTGGGTAAAGGTACTCAATATCCGTGATAGAGCCTATGTAAATATAAGCAGTATTGGTGACAGTTTACTTCAAGTATATATATATATATATATATATATATATATATATATATATATATATATATATATATATGAAAAGTATCATGTCCGTTAGTATATAAACCAAGTGGATCCTAGTAATATAAAATATTAAGACTGATCGACAAAAAGAGCTCAGTGTATTTGTTATTACAGAGCAAATAACTAATAAATAGTAAAATCCAAAATCACCTTAAATGGGGAATAGCCTAATTCGGTAGACGGCAATATCGGTCGTCTCTCTTATCAACCCCCGGTGTGGACTAAATTCGTGTCATAGAAATTTAACTGTGAAAACTAAAAAAAAAAAAAAGGTCGAAAACTAATACAGAATTTAACCATTTGAGTGTTTCAGTCAGACGAAAGGTACGAGTCAGAGTTCAGGAGAGGATGGAAGATATTAAATATTTATAAAATTAAATCCGAAGATTAACCTTATGACATTAATTTGGGGTTATATGAAAAATGAAATATATAATTTAAAATTAAAAGAGGAATAAAAAGGGGTTTAAAAATGACTTTCAAATATGTAGATAAAAGGATGGAATGAATTAATAGAAAGAGGATTGGGGAGATATTAGAGTAGGGAAAGTTTAACTCTATCTATAAAAGGCAGGATGTGTGTGTGTGTGTAACGAATGCACGGCCGCAATTCTCGACGGATTTGCACCAAAATTTACATGCACATGCTCCAAGTTAGCGGGAAGGCCAAGACCGACTTTGCATTTCACAATTCTATCGATAGTGGAAATAATCGATTTTTTCATGTTTCTACGGCAGTTTTCATGTAGTTTGCGGCCATTTTGTACTGGCCAGAGTGAGAGCCAATAGCTGGCTGCCACGAATAGGCAGGAAGATTCTATTGGCCAGCGTGAGAGCTAACAGCTGACTGACACGAATGTTAACTAGCATGCTAGCATACAAAAAAATATCGATAGCTGCATTCGTCACAAGTGGGAAAAATTTAGATATACATGGCACTTTACTCCAATTGGCTCATTCGCTTGCTTAAACTCAACGTTGATTCTGATTCTGCAGAATTGGGTTGGGTGTGAAAAAGTATTTGCTGTTAACATTCTTTTTTCATTCGGTTTTTCCAGTTACAAGTCCTTTTTTAAAAGCTGATCGTTTTGTGTTAATTTTGTTTAGTTCTTTTTCGTAACAGATTTAATGTTTAGTATAGAGCTTAGAAAAAATTCGCAGTGTGAGATAGGCAAGAAGTAAGGCATGTAGCAACATCAGCACGGCAAAGGGCCCCTTTAATGGCAAGGAAGGGCAAAAATATTTTAAGTCAAGTGATAGCGATTGCTGTATGAGTCGTACGATTTTTGAATCAAGCACGGGCAACGCCGGTCCATGCTGCCAGTAAATTATAAATATAATGTAAATAAGTATAGAATGGGGGATTAGTTATACTTTCGTCATATATATATATATATATATATATATATATATATGTGTGTGTGTGTGTGTGTGTATGTATAGATAGTGAAAAATATATCGTTAGTGAAGCAGAAAGCAAGAAAAGAGAAACATTTCAAATATGTTGCGTAAATAACTTTCTTATATCTTCCCAAAAAAGCGGTGAAAAGGAAAAAAAAAAAAAAGTGGTGTACATCTATTGAACATTGAGTAGAAAGAAAACTTAGACATGAGTGCGAATTGTTGCGTCAGTTGCTGTCGGTTTAGTGGTTTGTAAAATCTGCGATCTGCGTCGAAACCGTTTTTCTAAAAAGGAAGCACGAACCATCTGAAAACACCTGTAGCAAAGCGGTCGTATTTGTAAACACAGAACTTTAATGTACCGAGGATT